TATATATATATATATGCATGCTACAGTTTACCACTCTCATAATGTTTGAAATTATTGCAGGTACCCTTGCTACGGAAATAATATATTATTTATGGCGTAGGCCTACATTATTACGTTATCCTTGATGACAGCCATTTCTTTTGTCTGGAATCTGTGCGAACGTTCTTGAGCAATATTGAACATTTGTTGGATGCGGTATGCATTCTGGCAGTCGTATCAAGAACTGGTGTTTCGCCGCATAGGCCTATAATAATTATAATTAACAGACTGTGCGACATGACGAACAGGATACTCGCATTCGGAATATGTTTTACTGGTTACCGTGAACTTTACTGCTGCGGTGACACGATCACGGGAGAGGTCGTCTTAGAATTGGGCCAAGATACAAAGATAGAAAGTAAGAGTTGTTTGTTGATTAAGATTACGGTTTACTATTACTGCATTATTAATTGCATGCTCAGCTGAGAAGTGAACTTGTTCAATTTAACCTCACAGCTTTTGTCGATTGTGGTACAGTTATTTGGAAAGACTGACGTATATTATTGTGACGTAAAATGACTACGGCGATGATGGTGATGAGGCTGATGATGATGATGGTGATAGTGATGATGATGATGATGACGATGGCGGTGATAATGATTTATCATTATTATTATTATTATTATTATTATTATTTATTTGTTTATTTATTTATGATCGATTTTTCCACAAGAAACAACAGATGTTGAACAGAAGAAAAGATGATGATGAGGAGGAGGGGAATGATGATGAGGAGGAGGGGAATGATGATGAGGAGGAGGGGGATGATGGTCATGATGATAATGGTAACGATGACGGTAATGATGAAGATGATGATAACGATGACAATATAAGGACTATGATGGAGTTTACAATGTAAATGATACAATGGCAATGGTGGTGAATAATAAATGATATGTTAATGATGGTTTTTATATCCATCTGGATGACATCTGGTTGCATTGAACGACTGTGTAGAGACCATAGACGGAGATTGTTTTTTGTAAGATGAAATATGACTACAAAAAATGTTATGGACACAAGCAAAATAATAATAGATCTAATAATATGATAAGTCAATGCTGAAATGATGATTGAGTTTTTGATGATGATTCAAGATTCCAGATAATTTTATTGTCCGAAAAAGATCATAAAATGTTTCCACTGACAATTTTAAGGTACAAAGAACACAGTACAGTCCAGTAATATATAAAAGATTATAAACAAAATTATTAAGATGATGATGATAAGGCCATGGGTAGGTCGGTAGTTTTATGACAGACCTATCCATTTTTTAGATTTCCCTAAAACGTGGCCAACACATTTTTCTTTAGCCTAGTGATGATGGTGGTGGGTTATGATGGTGGTGGCAATATTGATAGTGATACGATAAGGATTATGTGTGGAAGCGGTAGCGAAAATGACTACGAAAGTCATAAGGTTAAAGCATACATTGTCCCAGAAATGTAAAAAGAAAAGTCATTTTGCCATTTCCATCTTCAATGATTATAATACTTACAGCTAATTATAAAAATAATGATAGACCAGGGATATACTTAAAACGATTATAACTGTATAATAATCGACGCATATTTTATATTAATTACTTATTTTTTCTCCAATATTAGTAAATTGCTTGTCATTAATTAATATCACTAATTGATTACCGATATTTACACGTGAAGGTATTGATCTATGTATTTCCGGAGTGTGCGATGTTCATCTTCATTCAAAATGCACAGTACAGGCGGAGTATCAAGCTGACGACGACGCATGCCCACTACGTGCCCGGGAAATCTACTTTGAAAAAAGCCTGCAACTGTATCCATCAAAGTCCGGTAGGACCTATAATAATATTATTTTAATGTGAAAATTGGCCTACAGTTTTTCGTTTTTATGTACTGTATTGTTTCTAAACGTCTCTATTAAGTAGTATATGGTCAATATTTAAAATGAGATTACACGACATGTCACGGACTGCTATTGTACAATATTATTGATAAGTACGCCTTTGTTTAATCCTAATTTTAATAAGTCTACTTACACCGTTATCGATTATAAAGTTCTTGGCGAGATTTAATACCTTGTTTAGCGAACTTTCTGTTCTGTCATATAGGAGGACTGAACACATTTTATTTAGAAAAATGAGTTTGCCGAATACAATAATCAGTCAGACGAAAAAATGTTATTTATGAATGTAAACAGGTAGTAATGTGATTTGATAAGCTTTAAATTTATATAATTTAGAAGAAGTATATATATTTTATTTGTGGACATTTTAGGGGAATGGAGGGTGTGGAGGAGGTGCCGCTATCTGGCCAAAATTACAAATTTAATTTTATTTGCATCGGTAAACAAGGTATAAAAACGTCTTGCCTTCTGAATTTTTTCTCTAGTGAGACCCAAGCTTTCCATATAGAGGTAACGTAGGAGAATATTCATGATTCCTTCATGCAGAACAAAATAATAGATCTCCAATGTAAAAATATATTATCTTATTTTTTAGCTAATGAAGATACCTTATTGAAAGTTGGCAGACACGCCTTCTACTTTGAAGCTAGCCTTCCCGCTACCAACTTGCCAAACTCTTTTGAGGGTAGCTTGGGTTACGTAAGATATGTTGCGAAATCGATATTACAAACTTCACAAACTGAACTTGAGGCAAAGAGGGCATTTACGTTGCTAGGTGATACATATGACATCAACCTAAACCAAGGCTCATTGGTAGGTGTTTAACACAAGTGAGTTTGCATTCACCACTCTAATAATACTAACCGCTCTATTTTTTTTTAAATTTAATCTTGACTCCGATACACTTAGTGTTCCAGACGAATAGATTCTTACCTCGACGGGTGAGTACGAACCCCCCCCCCCCCCCCCCCCCCCCCACAAATTACCAAAAAGGTCCACATTTTCAGGGGTAGAAAATTCAAGACTCGCACCAAAACTCCTTGACCAATCAAAGCAGTTTCCACTAGACTGCCTCCAATTCGTCATATTAGCAAGAACTTTAAACTGTATTTATAAGCTTTTTGAAGAATTTTAGTATTTTCCCCCGCCGCTTACGTATCAATGACTCACGCGTACAATTCTTCTTTCTATGTATCACTTAATTTTTTTATTATTCTCGTTTAAGTGTGAGAGTGCCATTCCCGGCCATCTAGAGGTGTCTTAATCATAAATTTTCTTACCTTAGCCCCAACCATGGTTGGGCTGAGGCGTTATCGACTCCCATCTGTAAAAGTCCTTCCCTGGCCTCCTCTATTTGTGATTATGGTAATTGTTTTCCCTACCCTTTTCCCAATCAGATCAGTATATGCTTATTCTATACATTCTCCTTTTGATATATGTTTGACATCTACCCATCTCATCCACGACGGCGTAAAGCGCTTCGAGTATTTATCATATAGGCCTAACATCTGCTTTGGGAAATTTAGTATTTTCAATGCCAAATAATATTATGGACGTGTTTTCATTGTCCACTATAATAGGCCTACATGATATCTTTTACGTTTAAAGCTAACATTGTTTTATTACCATTGTGATATAATTTTATGTAGTCATTGAAGTTTTCGTAGTATGTTGACACATCAGTGAAAATTCAACACCACGTGGTTGAAAGTGGCACGTTATACACCTATTTTTTTTTTTTTTTTTTTTTTAAGGAACGGTTTAACGTCAGTCGAAGTTACATCCCGACACACTTTTGGTTCCGTGGAAAGGGTGCCGTCAAAGCCGTGGCAACCGTACCACGCGTAGCATATTGTGCCGGTGAAGAAATACCGATGTCATTGGATATTACAAACGACAGTGGACACAAGGTTAAGAAAATAACAGCTACGTTTCTGCAGGTAGGTATGGGGTCGGCGTCGGGCACGCTAAAAGAAGTGCGTGATGTTTCAGACGACTTGGGTTTAATAATTGCGTCATTAACGTGTCTTACAGTTCTCTAGTGTGAACCGGACCATGATAAGAGGGCGTTTCCTGCAGAATTCGTATTATGTGCTCTATTTTCATCTATTTTTTAAAACCCGTATCTTATGTTGCTTACAGAGCATGTTTTGCCGTATCGGAAGAAAGACAAAGACGTCTGTGAAACAGATGTCTTCACTGGAGTTTAAAGAAATCAGAGAAGAAAAGCGTTCGACGCGGTCCAGTGAGCTCATTCGTATTCCAGCCGTAGCTCCTTCGAATCTGGTGAATTGTGATCTTATCGAACTTGCTTATGAGCTTGTGGTAAATATTTTGTTTATATGAACCCATCCAACCACATACCACAATCACACGTGCGTGTACTTGAAATGTACGTGGTCTTTGTGAAAGTAAGCCAAAGGGGTTGAAATGTGTAAATGTCAGTGGTGGTGCCAGGATTTGCCCGACGAGAGGGAAGGGGGGGGGGGTCCGAGGTCCCCGACGAAAAAAGTGGGCGTGCATGCATATGTAGAAAATACATAGGGACTATACATTTTTTTTCTCCCCTAGAAATTGTGGTTTTTTTTTCTCTCAAATGGAGGCCATCCCCCTCTCCCTGGCCAATGCTCCCCCTTCCCACTGGCGCCATCCTTGGTAGGCGTGGTTAAATAACTTTTCTTAACACATCTTATTTCATTTTTTTGTGAACGGACGCGATACCCATTGATTTTCACACACTTAAAACTCGTGCAATTTCATAAAAGTCTTCTCTGACTTTTCGGAGACTTGGGGCATTTGTACGTTGTTCGTTCGTAAAATTAGATTATTTGTAAATGTATGTTATACGTTTCACTTGTATATTTTTGCTTCGATTGCCTTCCATACACCGATCATAAGTCAAATCAATTAAGTATTCATCTCCATAATGGCGCACTTACTGTACTAAATATACTCTTTTAATATTGGAGAAAAACTTACATATTTTTATTGCATTTTACAGATATCCGTAGCGGTGACAACAATGGTAATGACCAAGAAAATCGTTTTTCGAATTCCAATCGAAGTTGGCAACGTGCCACTCCAGAACAATCCTGAAAAAAATGGTAATACATTAACCTAAATTTTCCAAAAAAACGTTTCCTCATACGCCTAGACCTAATTGTTGATTGTTTAAAATAAGTCGTAGGCCTACATTTTGGTGTTCTATTAAGCAGCCGCCGTCAGCGACAAAACGTACAAAAGTATCAAGCACCTTCTCAAAATGATAAACAAATTAACTCACCTTTCTTAGACGAACGTTTAATCCCCCCACTAACCCCAATACCTAGGGTTACAAAATCACGCCCCTCAGGTTTTGTACTTTTGGGGGTCTTTGGGTCTTGTGCACCCCTGTTAGCACCCGTGAAGGGGTGTTGGCGCCGTGAGTAGCGGATGGCACACCACCTTCAGACCGGAGTGTGTTGTGCAAGTTTTTACCCCTGCGGATATTGGTTGATGCTAGTGAACTCGACTCTGCTAGCGGTGGCCGGAATCGCTCAAAAACCTTCCGTTTTGCCCCGTTGAAGATTTTACTTCAAAGATTCATTCAGTTTTAATGGCTCAGTATTGCCCAAATTCTGCTTTTAGTTGATCCCTTGGTCCGAAACAAGGGGCCGACTAAAGCCTCGGTCCGGGTCCCGGGAATAAAAAAATGCTTAGTATGGCCCAAATTCTGCATTTAGGCCCAAATTCGCAATATTAGGGATTGCAATCGAAATAATGTTATTTGGATAGGCAAATGTTTATTTTAAAAATGTCAGGACCGACGACATCGTCGTGGCGACGGGGAGGGGTCCAGACCTTGTCTGACGGAGGAAGGAATCTCTCCCCTACTGGCGCCGCCACTGTAATTATTGCTATGACGACGACGAGGGAGATATTGATCATGATGATAATGTTATCGATATGATAATTTAAGTCGAATATTAAAAGTTAGTATTCAAATCGTTTAATACATCGTATAATTAAGTATGGGTATTTAGCTTACAGTTTTAAGTTATTATTTCTCCTGCCAATTAACATACGCATATTAAGATGTTCCATAATCTTAGAACTTTAAATGGGCTGGCTTGGATTTATGATTTTCATAGTATAAAGTAAATGAAACTGTTTTGAGCTGTGCATGTAAGTGGATAAAATATTTGATTCATTTGTATGCCTTTCTCGTGATTTTATTTTGACTTGAAGATAAAAGCAAATAGCACATTTTAATTTTTAAATATTATTTACTTCAATAGGCCTCTCCCATTAACTCCAAAGTAAAAGGCTTATGGCCTGAATACGATAAATTTATTTATATATCTGTGTTGCACTGGTGTATCCAGGGGGTTTTATGGTTCGGGAGAACACCCCCACACCCTCTTTAAATTTCCCAAATAAGTCCTCCAACCCAACTAATGCACTGCAGACCCACCCAGACACAGACATTTTCAAACATATCTGCTTTTATAGCATTATTAGACCCATAAAGCACAAAAATCCTCTTGCTTTGGGGTTTCGCCGACCTCAACGGGGCTCCAACTG